AGCAACAAGCAGCACATAAAACATACAAGTCTGCAAGCAACTCAAATGCAGTTACCAGAACTATTGCTGCTAGATCAGTCATGTTAACCAGGACAATAAGATAAAAAGACTTGTCAACATATAAAAGACATAAAAAAGATCCTCTGGACTGAAAAGTGTCTGAATAAAGCGCATGAATAAACCATAAAGTGAGAAAAAAAAAAAGTCAAACAACTACAAGCGTGTAAGGCAATTAAGTGTGGTCAAATGACATGGACAGGGACCTGGGAGTCTGTATTTCTAGACACAGCCAGCCTGGCCAGTGACTTCTGGCACTCCTATACCAACTTCCTCCACTGCTTGGTAGAGGAATATTCACTCACCCCCAGAGAACTTGTCATGGAGCTTTTAGTGCTCTTCATTTTTCCATAATCAAACTGAATTCATTTTGTGGGCACCTCAAAAAAACACCACCTCCCACTGGGTCAAAAGCAATTCATCAGCTTCTTACTGACCTACTTTAACCTGTGTGTGAACTCCATGATGTGGCAGAGGCAGCACCTTGCATTTTAGCTTACCAGACAAAAGCAGGCCAAACTCCAGCACTGAGCTGCAGAAAAAACTGTATCAACTAGCAAGGCACCTTTCATCATGGCCCCAATTACACCTTATGCTGATTACACCCCGACTACGTCTGCAGCTTTGAGTTGCCCGAAGTTGCTCATGAAGTAAATTATGCTTATGACTCTGCAGAGCCCAAGGATAAAGCCAGTGTGCAGGTTAACAGACAAATAAGGATAAAAAAAGACAGAATTAGAAACTTATCTATTTCTCCTAGGCAGCAATCAGAATGCTAAGAATTGTGGGGAAAGAGCATTTTAAAATAATTGAGCCTGGATGCGGAGGTTCCTCTACAGAGGAAAACATCAACTACTATTATTCTGTCACTGCTACTGAATACAGAAATAAGGGAAAACCTATAAATATTACTAGTATCTGATATCTAGCTTTTAGGATATGATCTTCTATTCAGACATACTCTGGAGAGACTGACACAGATTTTGGCAAAGCCTGTAACAAAGGTTATGATTTCTTGGGAAATGAGCAGGAGAGATTGTAGCTGAACAAGGTGGTAGGGTTGGCCTTTCAAAGAAGTGAAAAAGTAGGGCACTTCCTTAGCTTCTCAAATGTTACCACTGTCTTACTAAACATGTTAAAAAATATTGCAGGGCAAAGTGGGGATGGCAGAGAGAAGGTCACTCACATTTGCATAACCTACATTACAGACTAAATTAGACCATTCTCCCCAGCATATGAAATTCACTGCTCATGCTCAGTGCTAAATCAAGTCTTACACAACACCTGGTTTTTGACTCTGGCTTTATGTGATGCTTGGCAACAGATGTATTATGTGTTACTTACAGGTAATTTTTATACCAATTCCATTCTGTTGATTCGGGGAAGCAATTACGTAAAAGTTATGAAAAAACAAACATTAAAAAAACAGGCAAAAACGGGCATACCTGAGCTCCTTCAGGTCTTCCTTAAAAGCCTAGAAAGACAAGGAAGGTTAAATTTTACACAATGTAGCCTTAAAAAATCATTTCTTACCTAGTTAATCAATAGTGATTACTTGCTTGGTATCTTTCCCCAAAAGTTTTAGTCTCGAGTGCCAGTAGTTTTGAAATGACAGCTGACATATTGAGAAGAATTTTCAGAGGTGTTCCATCAAGTTGTGATTTAATTTTAAAGACCTAAATATCTTGGAAGCCTTTGTTTTTCAAAATAACCTCTCTGCCACTTGTCTTACTTAGCTACCCAGAACATATTCTTCTTTTAGAGTAACTGTGTGCCCTTATTCTCAAATATGTTTTGCAGTAGCTTGTTTAAACTATGACAACATAAAGGAAGTGCAAAAGGTAAGTTCTGAATACTAAAACCATATTTCCACTATGTTTCCTGCAATATGGGAGCATTTCCAGTATGCCTAAGTAAATATGAAACACTATCTCAAACAAGATAGAAGTGCTGGAAGCCCAGAAGTGATTCACTCACATAAAAATAAAATGAGAGAGGGAAAATATAAGGTAAGGGAACATGAAAAATGAGAGAAAATAGCACAAAAAAGGGATAGGGGTTGGGAACACGGCAGGTGTCTACATATTCACACCAAACATCCTCAGCATAAGTGGAAATTGCACTTTATTCCAATTTCCACTATACTGTTCTGGCCATAAGACTTTCCTTCCTCTGTGGCAGCAATATAAACAAATGCAGGCAAGGAAATATGAGAAATGATAAGTGTGGACAAAATGAGCAGTGTATGAACACCCAGTGAGGGTAAGAGGGAGCAGTGACGTCTGTGAAATAACACTTTGCTGTGGTTTCTTTGGGGGTTTTAATTTCAGAGTGAAAACAAACATGTACAGTAAACAAGATGCTGAAGCACTAACATATACAGGAATCTTTTTCCCAAAGCTTAAATAGCCTTCAGAAAGCTCACTGTAAATCTACACAAGTGAAAGAATAAGCTCTAGATTTTTAACAGTTTCTTACAACAACTTTGACTTGGAGTAACATTTTTATGTGCAGCTCCCCACCCTTGCAAATAGGATCTAGATGGTAATTCGTGTCTGATGCAGCTTTTAACTTATCAGGGCTCCAAGTACTCCCAGAACTTACTTCTTGTTTGAAGGTTGATATGGGGAGTCTCAAGGCCTCTCGGAGAAGGGTATACATGCCAGAAATGAGGAAAGCAAGTTGCTCTTCTGAGAGATTAGCACTTTCTGCAATCAGCTTGACAGATTCCTTGCAGTCTTTTCCTTCCAGTGCATTAACAGTGACTGTGAATAAGAAAGCAAAGCAAGACCTCTTTAAAAAGAGAAAGACCTGGAGACTGTGAACATTCACATAAACACCTCTATGATTTTGTCTGACTTAATGTACTTTTACACCAAAATTAAGCCCAGACAGTCAGGCTGCCTGGCACCGATACAGCTTTTCAGTCTCTGTGGTCCCTGCACTAGACAGAAAATACAGTTCAACATCTGTATTTACTTCTGTCCCAAATGACTCTGCCTATATGTAGCTTTATTACTTTCAGTTATTATTATAAGGAAACCCTGGATACATTGCTCAAATTTCTGACAGTTTGCAGCAACACTTTGAGACAAACCAGACACTTTGAGTCCTTCTTGACTCAAATCAAAAAGCAAAACCCTAACAGGATGTTAGCTGAGAGAACATATCAGGGTTGCAGCACAACCCCATGCTGGGCAGCAGCTGCCCTCCTCTCAGCTGGCCACAAACAAGCTGTGTTTTTGCTTTGCTAAACAACTCTTCCATTAATCCATGATTATTTTACATACCTTAATTTACTTAACTCAGCAACTCCTCATTTTGAGGGTCAAAGGTGCCTTGAGAAAATTCTCACCACAGGGAGAAGCCTCATAGACAAAAATGAAATCAATCATTGTCAATCTTACAGCCCCAATCTCAGCAAGAAACCTGCACCTTTTAGTTCCTGTATTGTCTCCTGCACATTATGAAGACGTCCACAGGGTCTCTGACTGTCACACACAGCCTGATTGTAGCACTGGCTCTGGAGCACAGGGACGAGAGAGGAATAACTCTAACAGGACTCAGCGTGAGTTCAGGGGCCATCCATAGCTGCAGAAGTCTGTTCCTCATTCTCACGGTTGTTACAGAACTGTAGAAAACAACCAAGCAAAGCCTGGCGTTGTATTTAACCCTCAGCTCTAGCTTCCTGACGGGAAAGGCGATGGGAAGTGACACACGAAGCTGCAGCCCCTCAGTTGTCACAGAATCACAGAATTTCTGAGTTGGAGGGGACCTACAAGGATCATTCGGTCCAACCCTCACCCTGCAGAGGACACCGCAACAATCCCACCACGTGTCCGACAGCGTTGTCCAAACGTTTTTTGGGCTTTGTCAGAGTTGGTGCTGTGATCACTGCCCTGGGGAGCCTGTTCCAGTGCCCAAACACCCTATCGGTGAAGAATCTTTTCCTAATATCCAACCTAAGCCTCCCCTGACACAATTTCAGGCCATTCCCTCGGATCCTGTCACTGGCCGCCAAAGAGATCAGTGCCTGTCCCTCCTCTTACCCTCACAAGGAAGTTTAACCGCAATGAGGTCTCCCCTCAGTCTCCTTTTCCCCAGGCTGAACAAACCAAGCAGCCGCTCCTCACACGGCTTCCCCTCCAGGCCCTTCACCATCTCCGCAGCCCTCCTCTGGACGCTCTCGGAGAGCTGTCCTTGCCTTACCGAGAGAATCCAAGGCCTCCTCGGGGACCGCGGCTCCCGCCCATCTCCTCTGGCTGCGAACCCCTCCCGTCCCTCCTGGGGGGCAGCGGGGACTCCTCCGCGCCGGGCCCTACCTTTGAGGAGCCGCCGGAACGTGTCCTTGCCCAGGTCCTGCAGGGCCCGGGCCATGGCCTCCACCTCGGCGGGCACCCGCGGGCCCAGGAACCCGCGGCCGCCGCCGCCCTCGGCGAGCCCGTGTCCCACCACGGCCGCCATGGCCCCGCCGTGCGGCCTCCCCGCCGCGGGGGGGCGCTGCGCCGCCGCCGGGGCCGGAAGGAGCCGCCGCGAC